CCATGCTGAGGGCAACACAGCGTGAATTCGTGCGAGTTTGCCGAAGGGCATAAGCATGAGCTTCATCAACAACTTTTGCCACATTATTCAGAATGCGGTCATGAGGAAGGTTGGTGTACATTGTGGTAAAATCAACAGTGCAAGGAGAGAGGCCACGAAGAGACGATGCATTGTTTTTCAGGTCAATCGCCACTTCATCGGCACTCTGAACGATCCAGCACCGTCGAACACCAACCTGTTGATAGACATCAGTGTCTTTCTCGCGAAGAGTAGAGATCACTCCTTGCAAAGCAGCACTGAGATACGACGAAGTAGTTGTGCTAGCCAAGGGTTTGTGAGGAGGCCGTTCATGAATGGTGCGAATTGTTGGACGAGGGCGAGCACGCGGGGGAACAACACCATTATTTTGTGTTGTGACTCCAAGAATGCTGCGAAGAGATGGAGGAGACTTGTGAGCTTTGAGTACATAGTAAAGGTAAGGTAGGGTATCAGTGTGGGTGTAACCCCAATGGTGATTCCACACTGCATGGTGGTCAAGGACATCAGCAACGGACTCTTGAGGACGAGTATAAGTGAGATTGTCCAAATGGGTAGAGAACCAATTCTTGCGGCAAATTGCCAAATTGTGTGATGTTTTGTCCACAGGGACAATGGCAAAGTGTTGTTGAAGATGGTGCAAGGAGGCATGGGTAGAACGTAGTGAACGTGGCTGGCTCACATGATTGGAGAACGAAGATGCATTGGATTGACAATGCGCAAGGATTGTAGAACGCCAGTTGTTCAGCTTCTGAGAAAAAGACGAGAAAGAAGCAGATCGAGAATATCCGGTCAACAACGTTTTGTAATTGGCAATGTACTAGTCTAGTCCAATTGCCAGTGCCTGGAGCCCATCGGCAGTTTCCCCATTCAACCGATACTTTGAGCCTTCTTGAATAAGTTTGCGAAGGCTAGCATCGGAGATGATATTGTAGTCAACAGACACAATACGGCCATCCACGAGATCAGAACAATGTGGAAAGGCTCTGCGGCATTCGCAATCAGAAGAGTCGGGTAAGTTCATGCCAGGAGTAACACTCAAGGCCATATCAGTGAAGTACAAAATTGAACACACGTGGGTGACATCAATTTGTCACATACACGAACATGTGTGGCTGCTTGAGGATCGGGGTGCAATGCAACTACATCCGACAATTGTAACAAATGGCGCAAGTTTGTAGCACGAGCTACCTCATGCGCATGTACGACCTTGATGTGGTCAATACATGGGTCACGAGGTTCTACTGTGTAACGTTGGCGGGTATGCTGCAATTTTCGGATGAGGCATTCGAGTTCTCAAATGTCTGATGTCATGTCTGCATTGGAGACGTTATTGTAAAGCCATTGCAAAAGCCGTACCTGACATGCTGGTGCTGCTTGCTCAATATCAACCTTGACACGACACCAATTACCCGAAGCAGCTTCAGTGAGCAGACGATGCAGTGAGGTACGAATCATAAGTTGGGGACCCGGACAAAGATCAACGGCACAGGACCTAACCAAATGTGTTGGCAATAGAGGTAAACAGTGAGGGGGTGTTTGCAAGAGAGACAAACAATGAGCGGGTGTAGATAAAAGGGGTGCAGCATAAGAGCCAACGGGTGTCGGTAAAAGGGGTGTTATGTGAGAAGGATCAACCGGTACAGGAACGGATGGAGCAACAATAGATGTGGTAGGGAGGGAAACAGGAGGAGTTGAAGCATGAGGAGGTAAAGGGGGCTGAGGAGCAAAGGGACGAGGGCCCATTTGTGTCCAACGATGACGGCAGAAGTGTCGTCGTGGAGCCAACATTCTAGCCATTGGAAGGACTGCATTGAAACCAACTGGGTGAAGAGTTCGAAGTTTACGAACCCAGAAACCCTCGCGGCGTGCAGCAGCCCGCCGAAAGAGGGCATGATCAACAAGACCTTCAGACGTATGAAGGGTAGGATCGATGCATTCCAAGGGCCAAGCAGCAAAGTTGAATGCTGATTGCCCACACATTGCACGATAGAGGTGGTGGTGGCGAAAAACAGCAGAAGAGCGCCGTGTATGCCAATGCTCTTGCAGCCGTTGATGTGCAGAATGCATCGTCTGTCCAACATAAAAATGTCCTGAAGGCAAATGAACAATTGCATAAATCACTCCTCGAACAGTGAGGGGGTCCATACCTGGTTCAAGGGGTTGTTGATCAACACATCGCAGTTGCAACTCAAATCGCTTTGCCTGCACAACACTGTCAAAAAGACAGAGTTGTTTCTTGCGCCAACCTCCTGCAGAATACAAGTTAGTATTCCACTCCAGGTGTGCACGCCAATCTACACGATGAGAGACAGATGCTTGGCGGTTTGACATGTGAACATCAGCAAACGGAACATAGTGTCCAAGAGGAAAGCTTGGTATAGCACCTGCCATGCCAGCGGCAGGAAATCTCCCGAGAGGAGTGGGAAGTATCGGGGTAGCCCCTTGATTATTCCTTAGTTGTAGATTCATTGTTGATGGTTATGGAACAATTATTTTTTGATTTTTCAATTTTCCAATGCAAAGAAATGGAGGTGAGTGCACAAGGTGAAAGGACTTTAGGCCCGACGGCTCAGGCCGGGATCCTGCCATCGTCCTTTTGTCTGCTGTTCACCGCCAGCAGCATTGTCAAAGAGGGTGCTCGGTTTGAATGTGAAACTGCATCTCCCAATGAGTGTGCTCACAGCAGCAATGCCAGGAGCCTTGCACCGACAGTCCAACAGTGCCTACATAAAAAGATGTCACCAAGCAGTTGACACATGCATAAACCAGCGTAGAAGGATTATCTCAAAGAACATGGAACAAGAGGTGAGTGGGCATGGGGGCAGCCGCCGAGGTGTGGCCAACCTTAGGCGGGCCGTAACTATACCCACTGCACGGGAAATGGGTACAACCCGTGCCCTTGCGGTGACCGCCATCGCAATCACATCGTGCACGAAAGGAAAAATAGTACATAACAGTTGTACACAACGAATAGACAAAACAGATTGTACACAAGGACTGTACATGAAAGGGATGTACAATAGGAATGTACATAGTTACAATATCAGGCTTACATGAAAGGACAAAGAGCCAAGCAAAACATCCGTAACAACATCTGTCATAAAAAAGAGTGAAGTAGCTGAGTTTATCATGAAACCAGCAAATTGGGCATACAACTCCTGCAAAGCACGCGGGAGGTTCATCAACAGAGGCAACAAAGAAAAAATGCACAGAAAAACGAACAAGAAAAGAAGATCGATGTAGGAGGTAAGAAAGAGAGACAATTATCTTCCACAAGAAAAAGGCAGTGCCTGGTTGTACAGGCCCGGCGCTGGCCGCTCAATCTGCAAAAGCAGAGGGCTAGCAACGCCGGAGAATATATTGTCACATAACTATGGACTAAAAGAGCGCAATTTGCGAAACAAACGGCAAAAAAAAAAAACAAAAACAAACAAACAAACATGAAGGGCACAGTGAAACCATTCATTTTACTCATTCTTCTTTTGACTCCCCTTTCACCGTGCCTCTCACGTACAAGGCTCGCCACGTTGATGAAGTTGAGCGCGAGCTGCCCCCATCCCCGTGTGCATAACAGCCCACTTGTACGCTGTGAGAAAGAGGCAGAGTGAAGGGGCAGGGGATAAACACAGGGAGGAGAGATGGAGAGCAGACAAACAAAGAACGATAAAGGGAAAGTAAGGGAAAGTATGGAGTGTGGAGTGAAATGAAGGCAAAAGAGGATAAGAAGAGGTTCAAGAATGAGTCTGTCCTTGACGACAGAGAGGAAATACATTGTAAGGATGACGTGGATGAACACATGGAAGACCTAGCTGAGCGTTCTCAATGCAACAATTGCCACAACGGGTGGCATTGAGCATGCCCGCCATACACCCCCGACAAATGGCATGTCGATTGCAGGCCAAAATGAAAGAAGAACGGTCACCACAAAACAGCATGCATTCAGTATAGCGCCCGTGGCCGCAAAATGGACATATAGTGTCCTGATGCGGAGGGTGCCTGCAGTCAGGAACGGTGGGACAGTCCTCTGCACACATAGATGCAGAAACCATGTCATCGTAGTGATTGTGACAGAGACGATGGCGGCTACAGCCGAGTGTAACAGTGTTTGTGGTTGTGCAAAGGAGAAGGTCGCAGAGTGTTGGTGCATTGTCTTGCTGCAGCACGGGGCCAGAGGAATGATCTTCGACATAAAAGAGATTGCGGACGGTCTGTTGTGGCAAGAAAACAACATCAATTTGTACCAAATCAGTGACATCAATCATGGCATGGACCATGGTGCTGTTGTCCCACAGCTCCCAGTGGTCAGAGGCATGTACAATGGCCATGTAATGGCCAGTGCCGTGCACAATGCAGGCACAGATGTGGGATGGAGGATTAAACCACTCACCTGCTCGAGCATTGCGTAGTTCAAGTTAACGGTCCCTCATTGCTACTTGTAGGACAGCAATGGTAAAGCCTCCCTCGCTGGTATATATATGTATTTGAACTTTATTTTTCATTTGCAATTCGGTGAACATTTGGATGTGACCCTGAGGCAAAAGTTGTTCAGTTTATTTTTCTCCATAACAATGCTAACATACTTTTTTTTCAGACCTTCTTTTTGCTGGGACCCTCTTTGGCGCTTGCACGGTCGGGCCGCCCGGGCAAACAAGGTGCCCCGGCCGGCCAGGCTGGTAGCCTAGCTACCTAGAGATTTAACCGAACCACAACCTTAACCCACCCACCCACCCAGAACACTAACCCAGCCTGAACTCCAACCCACCCAGCGCTTTTAGCCTCTGAACTTCAACCCATTCATTTGGTTTAGCTCGACTTGAACCTTTTTTTCTTTTTTGTTGATTTCAGTCAGCTCAGAACTTTTGACCCATGCAGGCTGAACTTTAACCTACCCAGAAACTTAACCCATCCAGAACTTTAACCCACCTATAACTTTCGGCTGCGTTTACGGTTTTCGGGCTCACCTTGTATAGCCTTTGGCATCTGGCAGCTGATATGAGTCCACGTCCCCGATTGTGCCTATTATGGCTTTTGTCAAAGAATCGTTATCGAGATCGAGGGATCGCAAAAAATCGACGGTTCCATCGTAGTTCTCAAGTGTCTTCAGCAAGTTGGGATCCCGGTAGGACAAGTATGAGAAAACACCTGCACGCGACAAAAAGTCCGTAATAGAGATGCGGACAACCAATGCACACGCACACACACACACACACACACACACAGAGCCAACCAATGCACACACACACACACACACACAGACAGAGAGACAGAGAGACAGAGAGAGAGAGAGAGAGAGAGAGAGAGAGAGAGAGAGAGAGAGAGAGAGAGAGAGAGAGAGAGAGAGAGAGAGA